CCTCAATGTCAGAGCTCCCCTGTCCCAACCCCCAGCACAGTGTCACTGGTTCTACTAGAAACAGCAGCTTGTTCTTTAGGAAACTGGGTACACTTCAGGGCTCCCTGGCGCACTCCATGACTTCCACTGCCTAGAATAGTGGAAGTAAAAGTGGAATAAATCCCAGCTTCCCTGAAGAGCAACCAGAGCTGTCCACTTTCTAGTTGCTGTTCTTTGTCTCCCACATTCTCCATAAACAAGTGGAGGCTTGGGGAGCCATGATACGCCACTTGGAGAAACTCAGGAAGTGCCAAATGAGGGTAGAGTACCCAAAAGCACAGAAACACGTCCTGAGGCCTATGGTCTGCCTTCCCACAACTCACCAGACCAGGTCCCTTTTGTGGCCTTTCACAGTGTAGGGAGGTCCCTCGTATCACTGTCCTGTGCCACTCTTGAGTGCCCTGGGTCCAGAGTGAGAAGAGGTAGGAACCAGTTGTTAGTGAACTTTGCTAGAAAGTTGTTCTTTTTTTTTTTTAAATACCAATTTTTGCCCCAGTTCCCTGAATTGGAATTCCTTAGGGAGCCAGATCCAGAGATCTCCATATGCGGACAGCCACTAGGCTGACTTTATGCTCCCTCCGTGTCCTTTTCCTCCTCCTCTTGGTCCTACCCTTAATCACACTGTTTCTGAATTTGCCACTCTAGAACCTAATCTTGGTGCTCTCCTGTGCTGTTCATGTCTACTCCTGGGCAACCTCAAAAAAAGTCATGTTAGCCTAACAAATTTGCAGGAAGCAGCCAGCTGGCCACCTTCCAGGCTGACCTCCTTTATGTCCAGCCCCTCTCATTTTCCTGAGTCCTCAGTCCACTCTGTCACTACCACCAGGCACCTCTTCTCTATGGACCCTGTGGCTGCTCACCTTGCTTCCTTTGGCCTTCAGGCCATGTTCCCTGCTTGTTCAATTTCCCTTCTGCCACTTTGTGTGGCTGTCACAGCTTCTTTTGGGATAGCAGTTTCTTGGTCAGATCCAGATGCCCTGGTCCCTTTGGTAGGCCCTGACCTATCTCCATTTTCATGTCTACTCTTTCCAGGTTGAAACCACAGCTCCTCTCCAAGGCTCCAGGGTCAACGTCCAGCTGCAGCCCTGGGATAGGTTGATCACAGCCCAGACTCATCCTGGCTTATTGCCACTTCTGGAATGGGCTTTATTTGAAAGTAGGGTCATTGTAGATGTGACTAAGTGAAGGATGGTAAGCTGAGGAGATGCTCTCTGGTGATTCGGGCAGGCACCATGTGCAATTATAGTGTCTTTCTAAGATAGGCAGAGAGAAATTTCCAATGCACATAGAAGTAAGAGACCATGGATAAAGGAGGCCTAATGAAGGAGCCAAAAGACAAGGAGTCACCAGGAGCTGCAAGAGGCATGGTGTGTCCTCCTAGACCTTATCAGGGAGTACCACCCTGCCAACATGACCCCTGAACCACAAAGGAATAACTTATACTGTTTTTTGACGGTGCAATAATTTATCACAGAAGTTCCAGGATACACATAAACCTCAAGTTAGTCACCAAGGAAAGTCATCTTTCAAAGAAAGATGTATACATTGCATGCCTGCCACCTCCCAGCTTGCTTAGCCTCAATAGATCCCACACTTGGGACTTTTGGAAAGCTTTGTGTTACACACACACACACACACACACACACACACACACACACACGTGCGCGCACACTGAGTCTTTAAATACCACTCCTCTTGAGGAGGAACAGCTCACTATCTAGGGCAACTACCCTCCTCCCTAGTCACTCCTTGTGCACTGGGGCCATTCAGCACAAGGCTACCTTACTCTGGGTTCCCAAGGTATGTGTGTTCTCAGAAGCCAAGGGAAACAAGGGCTGTACTTCATGTGTCCAGAATAGCATGTTTACCTCTTCCTATAGTCTCTGTTATCCCAAGAGATCCTAGAGTGCATAGAAGAGCCCATGGTAAGAGCCTGGGTCCACATTTTCAGAGCCGCCCTGTTGCCCCCACTCCAGGTCCTTCACCTCCTCTGCTCAGGCCCTTCATGGAGGGATTTTCTACCCAGGAGCTCTGTTTCCATCTCGGCCCTGGTCCAGGATACCTGGCGAATTGCCTCTTCTACAAGATCTGACATGTTTAAACCTAAGTAGTGGATTTGGCTTAGGCTCCAGCTGGGACCCACTGAATGCATAAGGCACCTGACCTGTAGATGGTGTTTAGAAAAATTCCTTATCCTAGCTCCATGCCTCACAAAGGCCATTCCTTGGCAACTACCTTTTTCGTAGAACAGCTGTTCCCAATGGCGCACATTATTATGTAATTGTGTGTTTACTTCTGTGTCTATTCATGTGTTTCTCTCTATGCTGTGCATGAATGGGCACTGTGTAGATATATGTTTGTTTTATGTATGTTCATGTGTACGTGAGTATATGCTGTGTGTCATTAGTGTGTGCTTGCCTGAATTTCTATGCACACCATTCACATGTGCTTCTGTCTTTACACATAGGCTTGTATGTGCATATGTGCTTGTGTATACATGTGTGTACTTGTATATGTGTTAATTTGTGTCTGTCTGTATGTGTGTTTCTCTCTGTGTATGTGTGTTCATATATGCTTGCATATGTTAGTGTTCACCAGTTTGCTGGCTGCTCATCTGGCCTCTGCTTTGTGCCACATATGAACATGCCCACCGCCTTTGGAGGCTCTGCTGCTCACAGCCCTTTTCCATTCTCACATGGTTCCCCATGCAGCACATCAGGCTGCTTTGATGCCATGACCCTGCAATGTACTCTTCCTTTCACTCCTCAGTCAGTCTGTCCCCAAGCCCAGGGACTCATACAAATGTTCGGCTAGAACTTGTCTTCTGTGCTCTG